AGGGAAAATGAAAGTTAATCAAGGTCTGATCTACTATCCGCATTCATGTGGAAACAAATATACTGTATGTTATAACTTAGGCATGAGTATTTTCCTTTCCATTCTTTCAAGTCTTTTAAACTGAGCCTGATTATCTTTTTTATAGCCATCAGTTTTCTGTTTTTGAAATAATACTTGGGATTTAGGGTTGCCTCTAGTGTCTGTCGTCTTTTGCCCAAACGGGGAGTGGATTCTACAGCACAAAATGGGACAGTCAGTGCAGCCCCCCAGCCTTGTCGGGGTGACCTGAACAGTAATGTGCCCGCTTCTTGTGTGCTTATCTCTTCTAGCTGATGGACATGATGCCTTGTATTTGCCTTGCAGTTGTGAGACATTTCCATATGTATCTTGTTGGGCTGTCCAGTCTTTTGAAATAGATGAGACAAATGGTATTTTATCATTATGAAGATAAACCTGGGAGAAATTAAATAGTGTATTCAGTGTCCTTGGGAACATTGGTACAGTGGCACCTGCTTGTACATAACAGTATGTAAAATAGAAGCTGGAGGCTTGGGAAAGACCTAGATTATAGACGAACTGGGACCAGAGCCCACGTTTTACTTTTTAATTGTGTTTTTCTATCACACCCCACTTTAAAGAGTATTTATAGTTAAATACAGATTTAGTGATATTACCTGAAACTAATTTCTTCTCATTTTTACTTTGATCTTCTTGCCAGATGCTTTATCCATGGTTTTTGAGATCATGATGCAAGAGGCCTTTGAGGTACCTTCCACCCAGCTTCTCTCCCTCTATGTGTTATACCAGTGCCTGGCAAAGAAGGCAGACTTCAGTGTAAGTGGTCTACCTTAAAACACTACTGAGAACCTTAGACTAATATAGCTTTGAAACAAAAAACAAAAACATCAGTATAAAAGTTACGAGTACTCAAAGGTGTGGTCTGTGAAAAGCCTGTATTGTTAAGAGTTCTTGTTTGTTTGTATTTTAAACTGAGGTTAGGAAAGGCTTCCTTAAGGAAATATTTCATGAATAGGGTGAAGAGGAATTCACTCTCCAAAGAGGGTGAAGAAGGACAGTCCAGAAAGAGGAACTAACATGTGCAAAAGCCTGTGGTGGCAAAATAATTGTGGGCAAAGGGACTGGAAGAAGAGAGGAAGATAGTGTAGCTGCAACAGAGAGAATGATGGGAAGGACATGGGTTGAGCTGAGGTTGGAGTCATTTTGTGTACATCCTAAAAATAGTGGGAAGCCATTGAAAAGTTTTAAGCAGAGGAGGTAACATAATCAGATTTGTGGTTTATAAAGATGCCTCTGGCTGTAATGTGTGAAAGAAACTAGATTGAGGCTGGGGTGGCTATGGTCAGAGCACTTAGGAGACTATTATGACTGAGCAAGAGGTAATGGTAGTGTGGGGACCAGAATGTGGTTGAGTTAGAGAGTAGCTGATGAACATATTTGGGAAGCTGATAACATGATGAGGAACTAGATGTGGAGATGGTGAAGTAGGAGTAAAATCTTACCTCCTGGGTTTCTGACTTGTGTAGCTGGATGGAAGGGTTGCCATGTGTTTGCAAAGGGAACTCTGGAAAAAGACTGGGTTTTATGAGGAAAGTCACTCACTTGGCTCTGAACACGTTGCATTTTGAGATGATTTTGAGACAGTCAAGTGATTTCATGAGGGAAATTGGATCTTAATGGAAAAATCTGACCAGAGATATAATTTATACATCCATGTGTAAATGTTTGCAAATGAGCCACAAAACCAAAAGGAAAATCAGGACTGTGTTGGACCATAAAAACCATGGGAAGAGAGTGATCTCTAATATAGAATGCTTCTGAAAGGGTAGATGAGATGAGGACTTTTAAAATGTTCATTGAATTTAGTGGTGTGCAGACACTAAATTATAACCTTTGTTTCCATAAAATAATGGAGCAGGAAACCAAATTGGAGTGGAATGTGGAGTGAGTTAGAGATGCGGCTAGTGGAGTGAATGTAGGCAAGTGTTCTAAGGAGTCTAGCTGTGAAGGGGAGGGAGAGGTGGAGTGAGGCGATAAGGGTTTGCTTTGTATTGATGGGAGAGGCAGAAGCATGAAATGGGAAAAACATGAGGACATCGGTGAAATCACACCTGATTTCTTCCGTAATAACATGCAATAATAGAAGGTGAAGAAGGCTTTGAAAAGACCCAATATTTCATGTTAACATATGAATACTTTTTATATAAACAGGAGTGGTTTGTAATCCCAGACAGTCATCAAAAAATCTCTAAGACATTTATTTGTTTTCATTGTCTTTTTAAAAGTCCAGAATTATCACAATTCCAGTCACCAGGACTGCCTCTGCTTAATTCCTAGTGAACCAAGGATACTGCAAGTTTGGGTTTTGGCCCCTATTACATCCTGATCCAGATCGTGTTTTTCACTAAGGAAAGAAAATACTCTAAGGCTTCTTATTTTTTATTCATGGGGTCCCTTTTTATGCAGTTTCTGTGGGGGAAAAAAATCAAACCTTAGAGTGATTTGCTTTTGAAAGTGAAATGGCCTAGTCCTTAATTACAAGCTCTTTGACTTTTATCTGTGCTGTAGAAGTAAGTGCCTGGAGAGGCTTTGTTTTTCTCCCAAGGTCTTCACTTTTTTTATAGGTTTAGAAAAACCTTAAAGAAATTACACTTGTATTGCACAAAGGCCATTCTCAGTAAAGAGGTTTGGGTGCCCATTAAAACCTGGGGTGCCTCATTTTCACCTGGCTGCAATTATAGCCTGCATATCTCATCCATTCTCTGCTCCCTCCCAACCTCTGAGTGGAGAGACCAGGGGAGGGCAACCTGAACTTTGCATTCTATATTTCCACACCAGAATGTGGGCTCTGGCCAATGTGTACTCACATGGCACCAAGATCACAGCTCTCATTGTTAGGGGGAGGTACTGAGGTTCTCCTCTGGCTCTGCATTTATGGTGAGTCCCCCATTGCTGCTGTTCCTAGCCGACAGCAGGCTTAGCAATACCAGTGTATTTGCTCCTTTTTTCCCACATCTCAAAAGACTCCAGTTTTATTGATGTTTAATTTTGCACCCTGGGTTGAAAGAAATGATCATTAAGTGTTTCTGATAACCTAATTTATTTTTGAGAGGCACAAACCTATCTAAAAGCAGCCTAATAGTTGTATTTATTTTAATACTGTGAAGTAGGAGTCTTATCATTGCTGAATTGATTACAGTTCAAAAGCTTGCTCTATCATGTATGTCATAGCAATGTGAATGAATATGGGGTTGACAGCATGCGTAATCTTTATTGATTGTCTCAAGGTAGTGTTGGTCCAGAGTATATTCTTTATTTTGGCTTTGTTTTGCTTTTCTCACTGTAAAAAGGATCTCTTATTTTTGCCAAAAATTTGGAGAATAGTGAAAAGTACAAAGAAGAAAACCAGAATTACTTGTAAATTCACTATCCAGAAATCTGTTAATATGTAGGGTATATTTTTTCTCTATTGGCTTCATTAAACATAAATAGCTTTTATTTACAAAATTGGGATTATAATGTACATATAACTTTATTATTTGGCTTTGATTACTTAATGTTATAACATATTCTTTTTCCTCCATGTCATTAAAAGTCAATTTTTGCATAAAGTATGTTTTGCCTGGCTGGACGATGATCTGGTATATGTTCTGTTGCAGTGGGAAGAGGAGAGGAACTTTGGTGCATCCCTACTACTCCCAGGCCTAAAGCAAAAGAACTCAGTGGGGTTGAGCTCCCAGTTGTATGGCTATGCACTTCTTGGTAAGCTAAGAGATCCTTATAATACTGTTCTTCATAGATAGAACTGGTGTATTCTTCTATTTCATAAAATTACAATTTAAGTTAAATTTACCAATGAAATTCTAATGCAGCTATCATTTTTAGTCATAACAGCAGGCCTAGATGGCTTTACAGTTCTGACCTAATACCTTAAGAGACAGTAAAGAGGGTTCTCAAACCTGTCACCACTGGCAAGGTGGGAACTAGTCCTTAGTTAATTTAATCTGGACAAAGATTGAATTTAGCAGGATTCAGTGTGAGGAAGGAATAAGGAAAGAAAAGTTCTGGCTCTCTTTTGAGAGAACCAGCCAGTAGAATCATTCTCAGTATTAACAAAGATTGTTCTGTCTCTTTAGACCTAAAGTGCAAGAGGTAAGAAATTAAAGAGGTAGGTTGGACTTGTCTCCTTGGTATTGTTTTCAGGTGAGGAAAGAGAGACTCAGAGAACACATCTGGTTTCACTTTGGGAAAGCAGAGTATGACTCCTTGGCGCAATGTGACTACAATGCAGGGGACGGTAGCTTTAGTTGACTGCCCCAGTAGCACTGAAAATCAGACAGGTCAGGAGGCCTTCTGAGGGGTGGCCTCAGAACCTGGGTTTTGTAGAATCTGGGCAAATAACATTCAACCTAAATGTGCATAAAATGTGTCCTCACCTAGGTTTATTAGATGCCTATTATTCATTACTCTTTCATTCTCATTCTTAAGTAGATAGGCATTTGAGAAAGTATCTTCTCTTGGTTCTACATTGCTTCTGTTTACCTTTGTTTTCTGGAAATCATCAAAGTTACAGCAGTTTGACTACTTTTCAAGTTGAACTTCACCAACAAAATGCAGTGTGGCATTTTTGGGAGCTGATTCTGATAACAAACCAACTGAGAGACTAGAATTTCAGAATTTGTCAGACTGGCTATCAGCTAACAGAAGAGTTGGCCACTCTTTAAAAAATCATTTGCTCCTTATTTGCTATCTGGTTTCGATACTGATTTACGTGTTTTTGCCTTTGCCTTCAGATGAGCATTGAGGACTGTGACACTGTGGGATTACTCAGGAAGTTGTCAGGGCTAAGACAGTGCGTGGTGGTGTTTCCAAGCAGAGACACTGGTGCTGTGGGACTGGCAGCCATCAGATCAAAGGCTCTTTGCTCTCACTGTGTCCTGTGCTGCACAGCTTCACTCAGCCCAGTGGAAGCAGCTTCCCAGAATGTGACTGCACTGTAGCCCTGAGCTTCTTAAAGGTCTAAAATTAGTCACCTGATAGGCTTTGTCTATTTATGTCCTGCTACAGCTTTCCCAAGTCCTCCTTCCCAGGAAGATAAATAAAGAGGGATTTAAGACTTGGCAGCACAAGGTGACCTTGACCGTTAGAGCAGGGGGCTTCTGTTCGACAGGTACACAGCAACAGCCCTTCTTCCCACCACCACCAAGGACCCGGCTATCTGGCATCCACATCTCAGGGTCCAGCGTGATGGATTGAGGAACCAAAAGAAGCATTCATGTCCTGTGA